TATATATATATATATATATATATATATATCAACAGCAAACAACAGGAATAAAAACAAAATGTATGTGAGACCCAAAGACGTCATTAAAAAACAAAAGGTGATTTACATTTGAAAGAGGCTGATATAGAGAACGTGCATATTTAAATATCACCTTATTTGACATGTAAATCTGTAGAGGAAGTTTGACCTAATAATAAACAAATGTCATTCTGAATACATTGTTACAAACAAGAATGGCAGGTGCAAAGGAAAAAGAGGAACAACAGGGGAAATAAATACCTGTTTCATGTTTGGAACCAAAATTTGGTCTGATTTTCACATGTGATTTGTCTGTTCAGACCAATGTGTAAAAAACTGCAGACAAGCTGAATGAAAATGCAAACTCACTCTCGGAAAGTAGGTGTCACTTTTAGAAAAGCAGAGGCAGTAGCGGCAGCTCTGGGCATGTGACCAAATGCTCAAATCTTATTGGTCTAGCAGTAAGATGGGGGAAAATATTAAGATAAAAAAAAAAATCAGTGACATTGATGGCATGTGAATGTTCATGTTGGTCTGAACAGATGCATTAACCACCATTTTTTCAAATTAAAATGTTTATCGCACCCAATTTCCACAGAAAATATCATCATGGTGTGAACAGGCCTTCATACTGAGACTGAAAAAGATTGATAACTCATACAAGCAAATCTATGGAATTACAAAAAATGACTTAAATTTGACTTTATGATTAAATTACAGAGTTTGAAAAAACAGCTGCTGTCTGTATTTCTACCTTCACTAGTCTCCACGCTCTGGTTGCTGTTACTACCACAGACAATCTTTGCAATATAAACTGAGGACTTAGATTTACTATGCGCTCAAAGTAGTAATTGATTAAATTAAATATAATTCTTATGTGGTCTGCAATAAATTTTAACAATGCAAAGCATCTTATATCTGCCTCTTCTTTTTAAAGGAATAGATCAATTACAAACATCACAAGATTTGGAAAATTTAAAAATGATCTTTTGTACCCTCTCTTTATCATATTTTTGATAATTCTCATAAATTTGCAAAGATCCAAATTCTTACATTAGAAAATGGTAAAACTTGTCTCAGAAAATGGCAGAGGGCAAGAGGTCAGATTGGTCAGCTTTGCATGGCAAAAGGACAATTAACTACATTCTTGTCTTAAACAGTTTATGTGTGTGTTCAACAAATAGCAAGACTTGAGGGAGACGTCCAATGTCAGAATACTTGTTATAATTAATTATGAATATTTAGATCCGCTGTAGATATTTAGCTGACCTCTCAGGGTCAACTCTCTTGTCAATTCTAAGAACGTAAATTTCCTGGTTAAGGGAAATAACTTTCTTACTGTACAATTCTACAAAAACTTGTAGCATAAATCTGCATGATTAAGTGACTCCAGTTATAAGCAAACAATGAACCACGTCAAGTGTGATACAAGTAAGGTTTTATTAACTACATAAACACTTAAACTAGTCTAACATACTACATAAACACATAAACTGGTCTAACATACACACACACACACACACACACACACACACACACAGTTTGTATAGGAAAGGGTTAAAGCTTAACCCTTTAAAGAGAAGCGAACATAAGAACATGAAGTTATTGAAACATTTGCATATTCAGCAGATCTACGCCT